CGCGGCTAGCCGGCTATGAGCGGCTAGCCGGTAATAACCGACCGATAACCGACCGTAACCGACCGAGTCCATCCCTAGAATTAGCCTATGAAAACACCTTCGACGTTCTAACAAAAAAAAATTACTTGCTAAAATTTGCATATATATAACACCTTGTTAAAATCTCAGGCCTCGCCCTTGATGATCACTGCCGGTTATTTAAAGTTAAAATTCTTTAATAAACTTTAAAATACTATTTATTATTATTAATAAAACTAACTTCCATTGAAGGATAATTAAAGCGATGGGTTTATTTTTATTTCAAATATCGATATTAATTTTAATTTATCTGTTATGTTCCAAATACGATAGTTTGTACACGATACGGTGGGATGTGCGATGCACTATTTTCAACAAAATTATAAGTGGTATCATATAAAAATTTATTATTAAAGATTTTTTGATTTTACTTATATATTATAATAATTTTTCGCGAATTTTAAATAGATGCACAACCCTAACAGCTCAATAGTCTTAGATAAAATTTTGTAATAACCAATATTATGTCTCTACAAACAAAGCTATTTATTTTATTTAAACGTGAAAAAATTTTAAATCACTATTTAAAAAAAAACTTCTCCTGTAATTAAAAATTTTTTTAAATAAAAGAAATAGCTCTATAGGTTTGTTTGTAGAGACATCGTTACAAAATTTTATCTAAAACTATCGAGCCGTTAGGGTTGAGCATCCATTTAAAATTCGCGAAGAATTATAAGTAAAATCAAAAACATCTTTAATAATAAATTTTTTATATGATACCACTTATAGTTTTGATTTACATAATGTAACGCACACCCCAATAATACGGGCTGTTTTGACTCATCACTTATCAAATAGATCTAATTCGGGTAAAATTTGCAGATCATTTTGCCCAAGAAGATGAGTCTTAAAACTCATCTCCAACTCATCTCCTGGGCCAAATGATCTACAAGTTTGACCCGAATTAGATCTGTTTTGATGAAATTTCACCCGAATTAAATCTTGAATCAGCCCATATGATGCATATTTGGGTTTCGTCAATCAGAAGTACCTGACGAAATGGTTTTGTCATTCGTCAATGGCGAAGTTTTCATCATTCGTCAAGCATCATTGGTTTGAGTAGTGGCTCTGGTATCAAGCCGCGGCTGGAGACGGCTTCAAGTAGAGCCGATAACATCTCTACAACATAGATGTGAATTGGTTATCTCATTGATATCGAATAACATTCCTACAAATAATTCGATTAAAAATAATTTTATATTTGAAAATTATTATAAAGGAAATTCAGATGAATAAGTTTAAATTATTTATGTAATGTGCTTGAAGAAATAAGAAACGTATTTTTTTAGAAGATTGATATTACCATAATTTATTTATAATCTTCATTATTATTTGTTAAAGAAATGATCCTGAGCTTCAATTATAATGTAAGCTACTTTTTTTATGGCGATGCTAGAACTGTTCAACGTACAGTGACCTAAAAAAAAAGTTATAGCTTAATAAATTAATAGTTCAAAGTTATCAATAAAACTTTCCGCTTTATATAAATAAAATTTATTAATGCATAAAATTTGTACAGAATACCCCAGTAAATATTATATATTGTATATAATTTTAAACAGGGGCAAAACCTAAAACTAACCTTTCAAATAGTTATAGGTACTGCTGTATCTATGTGACGATAGATTGGTGATCACAGCTTAATATCGGTTACGATTTAGAGAGGATTGGGGGAAGTCAATGAAAGGGGGCAAAACGAATATCGATATATAAAGATATTGATATCGTTATAGTTTATTGAGTATTCACAACTGGTGATTCCTCGAAGGATATCGAGGATATTTATACATTACAACGAGGTACAAGTGTGGACTACAGGGCTATGGACTTTACTAATATCTATATGGAACTAATAATTATACAAGATTTGAATAGAAATAAGTAGATATAACTAGTGCTAAATAAATTATAAAAGCTATGCAGAACTGATAACATCTTTTAGCTTCTTGGCGATTCGTGATACATTCCGGTCTTCGTGTAGCATTCCGGTCTTCGTGTAGCAACATGACGAGTTTCGTATTACATCGTTGAATATCGGTGCAACGATATGACTATCGAGGTGTAATATATTCGTTGTCACGGGATAATCTTAGTTGTATGACGACAAGATTGCGGAGAGACTTTTGGGATATTACAATACTAATGATAAAGTTATTTTTTAGATTAGTGTATGATTTTATTGAATAACTAGGCATCCTTTTATTGAAAAATTGTTTTATAATATATTTACTAAATTTGTTTTTAGCATAATCACTGAATTAGCAATATTAAGTCAGTCAATAAGTTCAAAATTTTGCTATTTTTAAAAGCTTTGTTAAACCAATTTTTATAAAAAGGTTATACATATTAGATATCAATACTAAATTTAATTCTTCGAGGAAGATGAATATCGTTGGATTTCCAATGCGAATAGAACAAGAGAAAGTTTATTTGGCTATATACTTTATATTCATAATTTTATCTGATCGGAAATTTGTAAAAAAAAAAGAAGTCAAAATTGTTGGATATAAAAATTTACATGTGAAAAAAAAAAGAATAAACTTCTGCTAAATTAAAATAAACGTCTTTTTAAGTAGGAGAATTTAGATTTTAAACCGAAAGTTTTTTTCCAAAATGTCTTATTAATTGAAATGTAGTTTTATATTCAGTTATTTCAACAAAAGTTTTATCAAGCATTTCATCATATTTTTCATTACTCATGCCCGAATATTCAAGAATCATAGATTTTAAAACTCTAAACATTGTAATAAATTTTCGTTTTATCTGTAAAAATATTTGTTAAAACTGATTGATCTTTTTTATTAAACATATATACTTTATATAAAAATAAATAAAAAAAGTTTACCATATCATAATCATCCAAGGATGCTGTTCTCTCTTCAACTTGATATTCAAGATTATATTCTTTAAATAATTTCGTTATATTCTTAGTAAAGTCTTCAAGAAAAATACCATGATTTCGAAAGTAACTATTTACTATGGAGTAAAAATGATATTTTTATAATAATAATTATTATTATATACAAACGTATAAATATTCTCAGGTTGATCCGAAAATTTTGAGTCTCGGATTAGAGGCAGAGACCCAAATTTCAGCATCAGCCGAGAAATAATAATAATAAAATTCATAATACAGTAAAGCAATAATAATAAAATTACAATAATAATAATAGTAACAATCCCGATCACTATATCATGATCACAAGATTAACAACGTTCAGATTATCATTATTACTCTAATAATAAAATTACATACATATTTCTAAAA